ATGTCCAGCTAATTTTTTTGTAGAGGCAGGGTCTCGCTATATTGCCCAGTTTGGTCTTGAGCTCCTGGGCTCAATAAATCCTTCCACCCCGGCCTTCAAAAAGAGATTACAGGCGTGAGCAACTGCGCCTGCCTGTTTTATCCTTTAAAGAGAAAGGATTAGCTGAATATGCTGGGAACCAAATAGAATAGAGTGGAGTCTCCCTCTGTTGCCCAGGCTGGAGTGCAGTGGCATGCTCATGGCCACTGCAACCTTGACCTGCTGGGCTTAGGCGGTCTTTCTGCCTCAACCTTCTAAGTATCCGGAACTATAGGCGTGTGCTATCATGCCCAACTATGCTTTTTTCAACACACATCTCCTGTCTGTCCACTTCTCCACCTTCGCTGCACCATGGTCCTTCTCTCTTGGGATTCTTGCCATCGACCTCTCCAGCTTCCATTTCTGCACCCTATAACCCACTTTCCCACACAGCCTGAAGGATCTTTTACAACTACCTCAAACCATATCTCCCTGCCCAAGGCCCTCCAGCACTTTTCCTTATCTGTGTAGAGCTGGCTCCTGCTAATAGTTGCACAAGTGTCTCCAACTCGGGTGAGCTCCAGTGGTGCTGTGTTCATGTGCTCATGCCACTCTTTGGCCACCTGGCCCACCTCACACCCACAGGTCACCAAGTTTCATTTTATTGTCTCAGTATTTATTACAACTTGAAAGTATCCTCTATCTATCTATCTATCTATCTATCTATCTATCTATCTATCTATCTATACCTGTCCCTCCATCCCTCCATCCTTCCACCTGTCTCTCTGTCCATCCCTCCATCCTTCCATCTGTCTCTCTGTCCATCCCTCCATCTGCCTGTCTATGGCATTCTCAGATAGTTTTGACAGTCCCTGATGGTTTTCTCTGTAGTCCAATTACCCCCCCATTTTTCCTCTATCTCAACTCCGTCTCAGTTTATCTTTAATTAGAGTCCCTGGTCCATCTTCCTGATGACGCCATCATAGTCAGCACTCTTCCTTACCCACTCTCCATCCCCCACACTCCCAGTGGAGCTTTCCTAGTAAAACTGCTGCTGGTGAAATCTCTGCCTACTCCCTCTCCTCCACCCAAGCAGACGCATGTGGCTGGATAAAAACACACACTCATCTTTACAGGGCTTGCTTTAAATTTATGATGTCACATCTCCAGTGGGCCCACGGGGCTGCCTGGCGGTCCTGCCACATTTCCCCGAGAACTCACTCGCCCACTCTCCAAGATGACTATTTCACACTTTTTCCTCTCGCCTCAAACCACCAACATATCTCTTTTCCTTTCCAGTTTTTTTATTTGACTGAGAACACGAAGTGAGAGGTGAAGAAAATTTTCACATCTTCCTGCCACCAGATCCACCTGCCTGCCCACAACTGAGCCTGTGTTCTCTGCCTTCCTACCTGTTGCCGGGGAAGGTGTATCTGAGCCAGGCTGAGCACTGGATCCCAGCCTCTCTCAGTCATTGGGAAGAAACTACCCTCATAGAGTGTCTAATGTGTTCCAGGCTTAGTTCTAAGCCATTATATATTAATCAGTGTAACCCTGGCGACAGCCAGGTAGAAATAACCAGTAGGTAGAAATGACCAGTCCTACAGATGAGCAAGTGGAGGCACAGCACAATTCAGCAACTTGTCCCAAATCACACAGCTGTGATGACTTCATATGGCTCCCGAGTCCATGTGTGCCACCACTCTATGAAACCATGTCTCCCAGGATATTCTCTGGAAGTTTCTCCTCTTCTGTGCCATCAAGTTGCCCCTGTCTTCCAGATCTTACCCATCAACTTTTAGGCGAGTTCTAAAGTCTCCTGTCTTAAGTCAGAGACACTGTCACTCTTTAAAATGATAAGTCAGGGGCAACCCCTTTGGGACCCCTCCCATTGTGAGAACTTCTCTGTTCTATCAATAAATCCTGCTTTCTCAAAAAAAAAAAAAAATATATATATATATATATATGTGAGAAGATCTGACCCCTGCCTACTCCCTTCTACCTCATTTCCTATATGCTCTCTGTACTTCCTGCCTCCTCCTGCCGATTCTTTGAACACAACAAGCACATACCTGCCTTAAGGCTTTTATCCTTGCTGTTGCCTCTGCTGAGAATGTTCTTCCTATACATATTGACCTAATTTAAGCAAGAGAATTCATTATTTTGGTATGGTCTCTATTCAAGCTTTGCCTTGTCAGAAAAGTTTTTAATCTCTGTCTAAAATGCCCCTGGCATTGTCTGTCTTCTCACCAGTTTTAATCAGAGCATGATGTTGTCTATCTACTGGTATATCTGTTTGTTTGCTGTGTGTCTCCCTGAGTGGCATATGGGTATCATGAAGGCAGAAACATTACTGCTGTATTCCTAGTCTTGGAAACAGCACCCGTTAGGGGCTTGATAAATATCTGTTGCATTTTTGGGATAGTGGCAGGTTATCAATCCTACAAAGTTAAAGGTCATATGAGGGAGGACTCCCAAAAATCCAGAATTATCTTTTTGTAGGGCAGGCCGCTTATAGTACAGGCTTCTTCCGCTAGGGAAGTGTTCTAGGAATCATCAGCATCAGTGTCCTAGCAAACATTGTTGTGAGAGCTGCATTTGGCTTCAGTGAACATTTTTTTTTGAGATTCTTTCAGTGCGTTTGCCCATTTCTTGATGGGTGATTTACGAGTGTACCTGCCTACCCCGCACTGAATATTTAGCAATTTTTGGCTAAAAACCGCATGATCCCCATGCCTCACCTTCCCTTTTCACCCCATCTTGCCCTAAGCAACTTTTTTGGTTTCCCCCATGAAAAAAATCCTCAAAGGGAAATGTTTTGCTGATGTGGAGGAGGTGAAACAAAAAATGGCAGAAGCACTAAAAGATTGACAAGTTCAAAAAATGTTTTGAGCAGTGGAAAAAGTGTCTCGATGTGTATTGCATCTGACAGAGAGCACCTTGAAGGGGACTGAAATTTAAACGTAAGACTAAATACACAGTTTTTAATAAATAAATTTTGTTTTGGGGGGTGTTCCCCCTTGTATAAAAATGAAAATAGAGTAGTGGTAATGTTTTTTTTAAAGTTAAAACACTTCTAAGTGATAGAGGAAAAACAGTATGTGTGGAGAAAGTTGGGTGAGAAGCAGAGGAGAGTCTCAAATTCTTGGGTAGCTCCAGTTGTCCTTCCTTCTCTCCACCATATGAGGAACATTCCCTGTTGCAGAAACTGCTGTGTTGAGAGCCAAGGGGTGAGACCAAAGGGAAGGCCTTTCATCCACGGTGAGAGTGGGGCCTTGAAATATTCCTAGGAAGTTAAAGTTGGTGAAACAAAACAGAATTGGCGCTCTTGGGTTCCTTAAACCCATCTCACTTGAAGTATTAAAAACGACAAATTAGACCTGGGGTAGTGCTTCATATCTATAATCCCAGAACTTTGTGAGGCCAAGGAGAGAAGATTGCTTGACCCCAGGAGTTTGAGATCAGCCTGGGAAACATAGAGCTTATCTCTACAAAAAAAAAAATCACAATATTAGTCAGGCATGTTGGCACATGCCTGTAGTCTCAGCTACTTGGGAGGCTGAGGTGGGAGGCTTGCCTGGGCCCAGGAGGTCGAGGCTGTGGTGAGCCATGATTGTGCTACTGTACTCGGGCTTGGGTGACAGAGTGAGATGCCACCTCAAAACAAAAGCAAAACCAAAATGACAATTTGTAAATGTTAACTTTTATGATGATGATAATGACAATTTTTAAAAAAATGTAGGTGTCTTGTTTTTGTTACCCAAGCTGGTCATGAACTCCTGGACTCAAGCAATCCTTCTGCCTCAGCTCCCGAGTAGCTGGGACTACAGGCATGAAACACCACTCCCAGTCCTATAATTTGTTTTTGTTTATTTGTTTGTTTTTTTGAGTCTGGGTCTCACTGTGTTGTCCAGGCTGGAGTACAGTGGCATAATCATGGCTCACCACAGCCTTGGCCTCCTGGGCTCAGACGATCCTTCTGCCTCAGTCTCCAAGGAGCTGGGACTACAGGCCCATACCACCATGCTTGTCTAATTTTTCATATTTTTTTGTGGAAAGGAGCTCTCACCACATTACCCAGGCTGATCTCGAACTCCTGGACCCAAGCAATCCTCCTGCCTTAGCCTTCCGAAGTGCTGGGATTACAGACATGAGCCATTGTGCTCAGTCTATAGTTCTCTTATTTGTTGCTTTTCTGACTGCTTTTTGATAAATATCCAATTTCTCAGTTCGTTTTGTGCTGGTTGAGAATGTTGCCAGTTTCTTGGATTATTCTTCCGTAGGGAGAATGGGATCCAAGAGTAGATTTATGTGCCTCTGATTTAATGTTGTGAGTTCTATTCAGTGATGTGGAAGAATAGAAAAAAAAAAGAAGCCAGAATAATGAATTCTCTTCATTAATATTATGAGATCTAAAGGGATGGGAGCAACTCCTTTTAAGTTCTGTTAGCATTATTTCAGTGTGCTAACTGATAAACCTTTAATGACTTTCAGAAAACAGTAAGGGGATGCTTTCTACTCTTGTAAATATAAATGACTTTAATAACAATTCATATGAACTGAACTTTGGCTCCCAGTAAATATGATGCCTGATACTTATCTGACATAACTGTGGTTTCAAAAGTTGAAAATATGGACCTATGGTGGATGCGTAATCCTGCAAAGCTCACATTGTCTGCCGCTGGCTATAGAAGTTTGTTTTAAAAGGCTAAGCACAATTATTTGGTAGCATTTGGGTCATTTCAAAATATTTGTGTTTGAGTATGCATTTATTGTATGTCTTTATAAAAATTTATTAAAATATATATATATTTTTTTACAGAGATGGAATCTCATTATGTTACCCAGGCTGGTTTTGAACTCCTGGGCTCAAGTGTTCCTCCCACCTTGGCCTGCCAGAGTGCTGGGATTACAGGCATGAGCCACCACATCTGACCCAGTTAACATGTCTTTATGTTTCCCTGTGATTTCTTTTTGCCTAGAGGGAGAAGAAGATGAGGATGAAGAGGATGAAGAAGATGAAGATGAAGAAGAAGAAGATGAGGAAGAAGATGAGGAAGATAAAGATGCTGACTCCCTAGATGAGGGCTTGGATGGTGACACTGAGCTGCCAGGGTTTACTCTCCCTGGCGTCACATCCCAGGAACCTGGCGTAGGGCAGGGCAACCTGGGCTTGCTGGAGGGAGCCACCTACCAAGTGCCAGATGCCATCGAGTGGGAGCAGCAGAATCAAGGCCTGGGTAAGAGTCATGCATGTTTCCTTTCCCCCCTCCTTTTATGTTTCTAAGGTGACAGCCTTCTTTATTAGCATCTGTTGTGGAGCAAAATGGGTTTTCTATGTTTATGGGTGGTTCATTTGGGAAAAAGTTATCAGCTTATATTTATACTCTTAAATAGCCAGGCTGCAAACAATCTCCAATTGCCCATTATGAGCACAGTTACCTGATTTTTGGAAGGAATTTCGTTTTTCCTTCCCAGCTGTAAGACAGCTGTGAGCTTTGGGAAGACATCCAAATGGGGAGATGTGTAACCAGCATGCTGAACAAGCAGTACGAGTGAGCTGGAGTCAGAAAACAAATGCATTTTGTCCCCCTGTATCACTTGGGTAGTTCCCTGCTTCTAGGTGAGCAGTTGGGAAATGCCATGACTTTTCTGTTCAGTCTTATTGTCAAGCACAGTCTCATTTTGGCCACTGGAGTGTCCAGACCACTCCATGCTCATTCTCTCCTATGTATGGCCTGTGCTTGAGGTGAGAGACTTTGAGGATGTAGGCTGACCTCCAACCTGACACTCCCTTTCTTGTCAGCAGGGAAGCCCCCCAGTCTGTCCCCTGTGCTCTTGTTGGGGCTGGGGGGAGACACTATTAACCTTTGAATGACTCCTTGAGTCCTCATTCTCTTGACCTGAGGTAAAGTGACCTCTCCAGAGAAATCACCTTTCTAAAATTCTCTTAGTGTTTACCAGCTGGGCTGATTTATGTCTTCAGTGTGGCAGACGTTAGGTTGAAGAGTCTGGTAAATGGGTAAAAATACTAGTTTGGGGGTGGGAGGGGTAGTTCAGTGTTCACAGCTGGGCCCACTTACACCAGTGTGGCAGAGGTTAGGTTTAAGAGTTAGTTAAGTAGTTAAAAAAAAAAATACCAGCTTGGGGTATTTCCATTGAAAATCTGGGACTTTGCTCTGGGTATAATTCTGGGATTATCACCCTATAGGTTGATGCAAAGGTTGTAGTTAAAATATAGCTGGGATATCCTGTGGAATATGTATACAGCAAGGAAAGGATATAGTAAGGGATAGGCTTCCAGTAGACAGGCGATCTTTACTGAATTATTTTCTGGCCAAATTCAGCATGTATTGGACAGCATTTACTTTAAAAAGCATGTCAGCTGAAGTTATTAAAAGCTTATAAAGGTATCAAAATATTATAAGACAAGCACAACATAAAATGAACATTGGTCTGTGAACAAATATTGAGTCCAAAATGCTCTTGTTCTACGTGAACAAGTTTGAAATGTGTAAAATGAAATGCAAAATGCAAAGATAACGTATTACAGAGCAGGTTAAAAATCAGACACAAATCTACACATAAAGGGATACCCCGGTTTTGGCTTTATAATATGGAAGTATGTACAGTTGCACAGTCTTGTTGATGTGGATAGGATGACTATTCAGAAACTGTAACACTTTGCTGGAGAGAGGATCAAGGGAGAGAGAGTTGCCTTTGTACAGAAGTCGTATGGCATGCACCTCTGGATTGTGGTCTAAGAAACCAACTTTCACCACTTATGAAGTTGCCCTGCCATCTATGAGTAATTATAAGTAATTGGAAAGACTATGGATCTTAGAAAAATATGGAAAGACTACAATTCAGTGCTGAAGTGTTCATTTGGGTTGTAGTCTTATGCTCCTCAGCACCAATTTACCACTGACTGTGAGTCAGATTTTAAGGAGTCAACTTTACTGAGGCATATATTATATGCAATAAATACATTAGTGAGGCATATATTATATGCACCCACTTAAAGTATACAATTCAATGAGTTTTGACAGCTGTATACACCCATGCAACTTCCCTCACAGTCATGATACAGAACGTTTCTATCACCCCACCCCCAGGGCCTCCTCATGCCCCCCTGAGTCTATCCCTCTCTCAGGGCCCAGCCCTAGGTTACCACAGGTCTACTATTGTCACCATAGATTAGTTTGCATTTCCTAGAATTTTATACAAATGAAGTCATATATCCTTTTTGTGTTTGGCCTCTTTCACTTAGCATGATGGTTTCTTTTTTTTTGAGTTGGAGTCTCACTCTGTCGCCCAGACTGGAGTGCAGTGGCTGGCCGCTCCCGGCCACTACAGCTATGACCCGCTGGGGCTCCGGTGATCCTTCTGCCTCAGCCTTCCAAGTAGCTGGAATTATAGGCATGCGCTACCATGCCCGGCTAATTTTTTGATTTATTAGAGATGAGGTCTCACCAAGTTGCTCAGGCAGGTCTCAAACCCACAGGCTCAGGCAATCCACTTACCTCAGCCTCCCAAGGCACGGGATTACAGGCTGAGCCACCGAGCCCAACTAGCATGATGGTTTTGAGATTCAACTATGTTATATGGGTTGGGGGGACCTCCCTAAAATGGAATCTGTTTATAAAAATTGTATATTTGTTTATACATGTTTAAACTTCAGTCATCTTCAAAGTACTCTCCGTTTGATGCAGTGCATCTATCGACATACTTTTTCCACTGCTTAAAACAGTTTTTGAACTTGTCAATTTGGATGCTTTTTAGTGCTTCTGTTGTTTTTTGTTTCACCTCTTCTGCATCGGCAATGTACCCTTGAATGTTTCCTGTTTTTAATCCAGGGAAACAAACAAAACAAAAAAGTCGCTCAGAGCAAGATTGGGTGAATAGGAAGGGTGGGACACGGGAGTCATGTTGATTTTGGTCAAAAACTGCTGAACACTCAGTGCGGTTTGCCATTATGAAATGGGCAAACCCACTGAAATAATCTCCCTCCACAAAAAAATTCATTGAAGCCAAATGCAGTCTCTCACAACAATGCTAGCTGGTACAGTGATGCCAATGGGTTCCTAGAACACTTCCTAGCAGGGGAAGACTGTATTACAAGGGACCCGCCCTCTGAAAAGTAATCTGGTTTTTTTGGGGGGAATTCCCCCTCATATATAGTATTTGTGTGTATGTGTGTGTGTGTGTATATATATATATGTAGAGGGAGTGAGTGAGCTAGGTAGTATTCAAATGTATAAATATACTGCATTTTGTTTATCTACTCATCCGTTGATGAACATTTGGGTTGTTACCAGTTTTTGACTAATAGCAGTTAAATTTTAAGGCTAGTCAGGCTTGAGACTCAAACCAAATAGCTCTGCTGTCCTGCCTCCTGATTTCAGTCCCCATGCATGACTAGTTTCTTAAATGAGTGATACCAATTTAGTGATTTGTTATACTTTTAAAATTAATTTCCTCAGATCCTGAGTTTTTCAAATATCAGATTTTTTCCTCATTATTTAATGTTTCCCTAGATCTCTTACCTTTTACTGTCACTTCCTTTCCTGGTAAAGTTATTTCATAAACATGTTTTTGCATTGTGGGTTTTGTGGGAATCAAAGCAAGGAACAAATCTTTCAAACTGTTCTTTTTCCTGCTTTGAGAAGATTGTTTTTGAGTAGTGTCTGAGTCTGGAATTTTATTAGCCCACCAACCTTTTCTTGGAAGGACAGGAGTATCTTCCAGTAACTAAAAACCAATAATGACTTCTAAATCAATATTAATTGATACAATTTCCTAAGTACTTTCAGATCAGGTGAAATAGCAAAAACCACCCCCCTTGTGATGGATTTTGTGGTAGGTAGAATAATGGCATCCCAAAGATGTCCATGTCCTAATGTCTGGAGCCTGTGAATAAATTACCCCTCACCCCAATGGCAAAAGAGTCTTTGCTGATTTGATTAAACTAAGGATCTTTAGATGGGAAAAGGGAGATTATCCTGGATTACCTGGTTGGGCCCAGTGTAATCACAAAGGTTCTTTTAAGAAGGAAGTAAAAGGGTCAGAGTCAGAAAAGGAGACATAATGATGAAAACAGAGGTTGGAGTGATATGGCTATGAGCCTAGGAATGCTGTCAGCCTCTAGAACCTGGAAAAGACAAGGGAATGGATTCTCCCCTAGAGCCTCTAGAAGGAATGAACCCTGATCTTAGCTCAGTGAGACGCATTTCAGACTTGGACTTCAGAGCTATAAGGTGATAAATTTGTATTGTTTTAATCCCCTAAGTTTGTAGCAATTTATTATAGCAGCCATAGGAAGCTAATACAGATTTCAATAAGTATTGATCAGTATCATTTTGGAAGCTGAACTACGTGGCAGCTATACTCAGTGTAAATATTGAAAACTAAGTATTTTTTCATAATGAATCAATACAAATGCAAACACTAAGATTCTTTCAAAAGTAATTTTATTTAATATAATAAAATTTTAATTGGTCATTCCTATTTTTAAATGGGCTATGTTATTTATATGTTATCACCTCCATTTTTATAATATGAATGGTATTCCAAAGCCAACGCTAAAACCCATATAAATTTTTAAAAAATGAACAGATTGAGGTGGGTAGTGGACTAAAAATAATGCATACTCTTGGAATAGATTATAGTCTCATTTCCTGTGAAGTAATAAGAGCAGGAACATAGATGACTTTCTATGGCAAAGCAGTAGATTCCAGGCCTCTAATTCTCTGCACTTCTTTTTTTTGCACTGTCACGTATGCATCACCCCTAAAGCTTTGGAAGGAGACAACTTAGTTTCTTGGTCTTGCTGCAGGGGAATGTGACTGTGAACTGTCTGTTTTTGGGGGTAGAGGGGATTAGGGGTGGAGTGCCCTGTTTTGGCTGAGGTAGATTGGTTGGTAAAATGCTAGTAGCTTATAGGGAGCTCCCTGTTCATATGTGCAGAATCAGTTTCTTCTTTGATCTAACAAGTTCATTTTCAAATTTATTGACAAGAACCTGTATGGAGAACAGATACTGTGACCTACATCATTTTTTATTCCATTATAATCAATAAATCACACAGCCATCCTCTTTCAAGTATAAAATCATTATGATCAAGATTGAGTCACCATATTCATTTTAATGTTTAAACATTTGCAATGAAATTAATACCTTGCGATTCTTTCCTTTTTGCTTTTTATATTTGTTAGGATGACTTCAGTTATAGGTAGTAGAA